TCTTTTAATATGTTCTTCGTCATCGACTGCCGGAATTTTGCATTCCTCTTCGACTTCATCTGCATGCACGTTCCATCTCACACTTGATAAAGAAAAGGTAAGAAATTTATAATTATAACATTATATATGTAATATGTCTCATAATTTTATTTAAAAAATTTCAGTTCTGCTTAAGTAAGAATCGTTACACTTATACGAATCAGCCGCCAAATCCTCGGATGCTTTTAAATTAAGGTATGTTGATACATAATTATTTATTACAAAGTGTTGTGCAAAAATAAATACTAAACTAAATCTTTAATTTAGTAAAAATGTGCCTAAGAAGCCGTCTCTCCTGAAGAGGGATCTGGATGCACGGGCGCATACAGGCTTTAGTTTAGATTGCCAGAAAATGATGACGAGAAATTGGATGATACCATTGATGCCACCTTATAGACTGACTCCATATAGCAAAAGATATTATTATTATTATTATTATTATTATTATTATTATTGTATTCTTTTTAACTTGAAATTAATTTTTTTTATAAAATAGAATAATTTAATTATAGATATATAATTGATATAAATAATTATATATACATTCATATATATTATAAAAAAAGATTAGCAAAATATAATTTTTGATTTGCAGAATAATACAGATGACGTTAATTCATGATTTAGCCGATTGTGGAAGACATAACATCTCATAGTGGCATACCATCGGATGAAAAACATAGAATGGAAGATGATGCTATGGAGGAGATTTGTAAGCTGCTAGGTGATAAGGGACCTGAGATATTACAAATATTTCGTGTAAGAAAATCTCTTTGTGTTCTAATTGTTTAAATATCTAATTATATATATAATATTTACTAATATTTTACCTGCTTTTTTAAAAATATTTAGGAAACTCCTGACGCACAGTATGTGAAAGACTTGGACAGATTACACTTGGTAATGCAAGCGTACGAATACGAAAAAAGGGACAACATTCCGAGAAAACTCGACGAATTCTTCGTCTGGATTAACTGCAAGATCAGACATCCTTTTATCGACAAAATTGCTATTGACATAACCGAAGAGAAGAACAAGTTGTGTCGCAATATAAATATTTCAAAATAACAAAAATTGTAATCTAAAGACAAACAGCTGGAAGCCAGCTTTCAAATAGCTCAAATAATATTTTAGACGTTAGATCGGTTACTATGTCACGCGCTATTAAACAATGGCTATTAATGTTACACATAATTTTAATACATAAGTTTTTGATATAGGTAGAGTCCTAGATTATCAGAGAAGCGCGACCGGTGTTACGAGTCCTGATTGGACACGCAAATGGCCAATCATAAGATTGATTTATCGCTATTATAAATGGCTGCCGAATAAATCAAACTTATGATTGGTCATTCGACGCCATTTTTAATAATTTTCTAGTACTTTTGCGATACTGCCATAAGCCGGTCGCGCTTCTCTGGATAATC